CTGGCTCACCCCCCCCCCACCCCGTGTGCAGAGGAGGGGGGGTCCCTGCCAGCCCGGGGACGCCGCCAGGGGAGACTGCCGTTCAGCCTGGTGTGCCCTGTGCCTTGTGTAGGCAGTGTAGGTCCGCCGGCCAGGACTGCACTAGCGACCCCCGCCCGCAGGTTCTCTAGAGAAGCTAGCAGATCTCGGTGGCGTGCACGTGCGTTCCTGAGCAGTTTGTGTGTAGTGGGTCTCGGCCCTACGCCCTGGTGTTTGAAAGTTTGCAAGTTTGACAGCGGCTCGCCAGCGGCAGTAACTTGTGTTAAGCTTGCACTGTCATGAGTCACTGTATCCGAGCTTTCTCTGTTACAAGCCTCATGGTTTTCTCCACTTGATGCTGTGAGGAGATAAGGCCTGTTAATGCGTACCATATGCAGAAAGAGAGGGGCGTTTCAGTGTCTTGGGGGCAGATGACAGACACCGGAAGAGGCATTTCTTTTTCTCTTGGGAAGCTAACAGTCTCGATGGGCTTGGGGTGGTTGAGTGATCGTTCAAGGTCACACGCATAAACTAAAGGGCACTTCGGGCTGGTGAACTAGGGAGTTTTGGCCAGTTTGATCTGAACCAAAACAAGCCCTGCCACCCTGTTGTTCACGCTGTTTTTCTTTCCTACATCTTTCCCTGTGTGTGCAATCACGGATTACCACAAGTTAGAAGGCCTTTCTTCTTGGGGGTTGAGTGATTGAGGAGTTGAAATTCCCGTGGAAAACTTTGTGTTACTTTACCAAGTGACAGTTGCAGTTTGGTCAGTGCTAAGAACAGACTTCGTGATAGAATTTGTAGTAAGTTATTAACTTCTTTTGCCCCTTGTTTTCTGTCTCTGTTAGCATACCTCTTACAGTGCCGATGATACTTAATTAAGACTAGCCAGAAATAACCTTCAGGCGAATTTGGCTACTTTTATTGTTACCGAGGTAACTGCCATGAAATACAACTGTTACTGTCACATCAGTATACCTTCTCGGATTAGACTTTGCATATTTCTACTTGTGTGTTTGTACCTGTTTCAGTGTGACATTGATGTTCGTGTAAGCAGTACAGCAAGAGTGGGGAGCTTTACCATTTCCTCGTGTCAGACTAATGGTTTAGTTATTAGACAGGTGTATTTGTTGGAGGAGTGAGTACTGTGTGTGTGTGTGTGTGTGTGTCTGTGTCTGTGTCTGTGTATGTCTGTGTTCACGCACACGTGCGAGCTCTCATGCATGAAGGGGCTGTATTTTAGGGCAGAGGAAACTTTGTCAAGTCCTTTAAATCCCTGGATGACATGGATAAATGAAACTATCAACAAACATTGCTAGAAGTTTCATTGTTGCCTTCTTATTTGACAAGTCAGACTGTAGAAGCAGACTGAGACAAACTGGGTACTTTTCTCATTTTACCTAAGCCCTTATATGACGAATAAAAGGGCATTATTTATTATTATTATTATTATTATTATTATTATTATTATTATTATTGGCTTCTTTTGACAGGGTCTCACTGTGTAGCTCAGGGTGGTGTCCAAACTCTTGCTCCTCCTCTATAGCAATTTGAGTGCTGGGATTACAGGTGCACACCACCTGTAGTTAAGAACATTTCAAATTTTAAATAAGAGGAAGGGACATTAGCTCACAATAAGGGGACATGATAAAGCAGAAATGATCTACTTTGTTGTTTTTTCTTCTTCTTCCTTCTTCTTCCTTCTTCCTTCTTCCTCCTCCTCCTCCTCCTCCTCCTCCTCCTCCTTCTTCGGGTTTCTCTGTAGGTTTGGAGCCTGTCCTGGAACTTTCTTTGAAGACCAGGCTGTCCTCGAACTCACAGAGATCCGCCTGCCTCTGCCTCCCAAGTGCTGGGATTAAAGGCGTGCGCCACCACTGCCCGACTTGATCTACTATGTTCTCTTTTTTGTTTATTTGTTTGTTTTTCCAAGAATTGTTGGAAACTTAGTCCGAGAGATATTTAAAAGACTTGCTTGTTGTGTTGGAGTATTTGGAATATAGATTCCTGTTTGTGCTAAAGGCCTGAATCAAGATGCTCAGTGGTCATAGTTCTGAATGAATGAATGAATGAATGAATGAATGAGTGAATGCGAGTGGCCAGCGACTGGGTTCAGGATGCTGTGCTGCTGAGAGGAGATTATGACTGACAGCAAGTTAAGCCATGGTAGAGCTGTGGAAAGAGAAAAGGGAGGTGTTTGCTTTGGGGAGGAAACTTTTCTCCTCCCTTTGCTAGAGAGGCACAGATTCATCCCCCACTCAGTATCCCTAGTCTAATCTCCCTGACAGGGTTAGTAATTGTGTTGCTGCTCCTCCTTCTCTTCCTCACCTCTGCCTCCTTTGTATATTGTTAAAAAAAAAAATGGAGGTTAGAGAAAGTGTTTGGGAAGGAATATGAGGAAATAAGACTTAAAGGAAGTTTTTTTTTTGGGAAAGCCACCATACTTGCCCAGTTTCTTCTAAATAGTGTAAAGACAACAAACTGTGCTGCTTCAAGGGTGATTTTGGCTCAACATGAATGAGGTGACTCTCTCTCACATAGTTTAGTGCTAACTGTGCCTTTCCTTGAAGTGTTCCACAGTTGCCAACGAAGACAGTTTGCTTTGCTTTAGCCGTACCCTGCCATTTCGTCTTGTCTCCCAGAGTTAGAATAACCACTGTTAGCAATCGAGATTATCTTTCTAGATCCACACCATCCAGGATGTTAGCCACTAGCCACAGGTACTTACATTTACAACGGTTAAGTACAAGTTAAAATTCAGTTTTTCAATTGTAAGAGTCAGAAATCCATAGTCACATGTCCTTAGTACCTCCTCTACTGGGCTTTGGGACATTTCCTTCATTGCAGAGAGAGCTGTGTACATTTAACACCCCCCCCCATGCCCATGGTATCAAAATGTTCATGTACTGTCGTTTTTTGTGGCTAGTGTGATCTGGAAGTCTTTTCTGTATCATATAGTTTCCTTCATTTTAAA